GATGAAATTCTCATGGATGAAACGTGGTATTTAAGGGTATATCTGCTTTAACAGATTAACAGAGTTGAAAGGGACCTTGAAGGTCTTCTAGTCCAACCCGCACTGAAGCAGAATATCCTACACTATTTCTGACAAATGGCAGCCCACTCTCTTCTTAAAAGCTTCCAGTGATGAAGCTCTCACAACTTCTGAAGGCAAGCTGTTCCATTGTTTGATTGTTCTCAGTGTCATAAAATGTCTCCTTACTTCCAGGTTAAATCTCCCCTTGTTCAGTTTCCATCCATTATTCCTTGTCTGGCCTTTGGGTGCTTTGGAAAATAGCTTGACCTTCTTCTCTTTGTAGCAACCCCTCAAATATTGGAACACTGCTATCATGTCTCTCCTGGTCCTTCTCTTCACTAGACTAGCCATGCTGAGTACTCGCAACCATTCATTGTTTTAGCCTCCAGTCTCCTAATCATCTTGTTTTTTATTCTCTGTACATTTTCTAGAGTCTCAATATTGTTTTTGTAGTGCAGTGACCAAAACTGGATGCAGTATTCTAGATGTGGTCTCACTAAGGCTTTATAGAATTGTATTAATAATTGATCTTGAGAATATCTCTCTGCTAATTTAGGATTGCAATGGCTTTTTTGGCTGCCTGTTGACTCATATTTAATTGGTTGGGGATCTTGGTTGATTCCAAGATCCCCTTCACAGTTATTACTATTAAGCCAGTGTATATGTGTATGTTTGGTTTTTCTTGCCTAAGTGTAATATTTTATTTTTCCTTACACTGAATTTTATTCTGTTAGATACGGCCCAATGTTCAAGTCTGTCAAGATCCATCTGGATCTTGAGCCTATCATCTAGGGTATAGGTTATTCCTACCAGCTTAGTAACATCCAGAAATTTGATAAGTTTCCCTTCTATTCCCTCATGTAAATCATTTATGAAGATGTTGAACAGTACTGGGCCTAAGACAGAACCTTCTGGTACCACACTGCTTACTTATTCCATGTAGACTGGGTCTATATGAGGATTACATACTGGTCTATGATCAGTTATCTATACTCCCAAGATTTATAGCAGAATGTGCATGGGTGCAGTCAATTTTTATTTTTATTTTTCAGCTTTAATATATTGTGAACACATGAAGCTTATACCTTTTGGAAAGAATTCTTCCTATTTCTAGCCGTCACAGCCCAATCAGGTTTTTCATAGACATTGATATTAATACATCTGCAATTCAACTACTTAGCCCTTTTTTAATGCAGTAATTAAATACAAACAGCATGAAATGAATATATGGCATTGGGCAGAAATTTTTAAAAGAAGCGTCACTGACCTCTCTGGGGATACCCATTGAAATGGGCAGGTCATTTATTCTACAATTTCCTTGGCTTCCCATATTTATATTAACAATCAAGGAAATCTTTCAAAGGTATCTTCTTGTTATTATTACTCAGAAAACATGGAAATCCAGGAAGGCACTTGGAAAATGAAATATTATACAATATTAGTACCCTCTACTATCTTGTAACAATAAAGCAAGAGCAACTATTACAAAAGAAGGTAAAAGGACATTGTGAACTATAGTCTAAATGGCATCTCCTCTTTTGTAAAGGAAAACAAACACTTGAACATTTGAATATAAATTTTAGGATATCACTAAACTGAACCACAAATGTTGGATGGATGCAGGTGAAACTCTGATCAGGTTTTGTGCTGTATTGATTTTAGGGATATTTGCATGCCTTTATATTGTAACATTAAATTAACTGTTTCTATTGCAACTGCCTGATTACAACTAGCACAACTTCTCTTTCTGTTGCAAGTAGGTCTCTTTGTCCTAACCACTCAATACCAAATATCCAGCACATCAAAAAGTCACCCTACTTACTCAAAGTCTGAAGTGGGAGGGGGAATCTTCAGTACTCTCAGCCAGTTTTAAAATGTGTATTAACAAAAACAAATGGGACTTGCCAGTGCAGCAAAAAATAAAGCTGCCTGCTACATGCACAGTGTATCTTTAATGAAGTTTAAAAATGAGCTAAACATTTCCTTGGGAATTCTAAAAACACTTATCTCTGAGGCAGTTATTTAGCTTCACAAGTCTTTGTTGTTTAACAAGCTGGAGAAATGGGTCATCTAATGTTATATTAATCAGTAAATTAATATTTTAATTTGCTTTTCTTTGTAGTTGAGATGCTTGCAGCATCTCCAGTGTTTTCTCTCTGTATATGCTGATGTTAAGTGGTAACATTATCATATTGTAGCTTGGAGTGATGAGATAAAAGAGTCCAGTGATAGTTTTATTCTTGGGAGAAAGGAAGGTTTGTAATGACATGGGCATAATCTTAATTGTGCATGAGAACTCCTATGAATCAATAGCTTTGCGCATGACTTATAGACATGCATAGGGAGAAGAGATAATTAGAAAAGATGGTACTAAGATCTGCTGGAATTGTGGTGATCCTGGTTGGTACTGAATTAAGAACCTCGCATTCAAGCATGTATGACAACGTAATAATGAAACTTCTCAGAACATGAGTATCTTACCCTGCACAATGTTCCCAGAATCCTAAACTAGAAGGGATGTGAGCAGGCCATCTCCATTCATATGTTCCAAAAATACCTCTTGTTAGAAAACAAATAGGTGCTAATCATGTTATGTCCACTTGGGGCTTTCCAGAACTGCCCAGAAAAATATATTGTAAAATTTGAAAGTTTAAAGGATCAGAGCCAGGACCTCCAACAAGAACAGTTTATTGAGAAAACAAACAGGAGCTGACAGCAATTCAAAAGTATCAATTCGGCACCAAGGTATTTATACAAGCTTTGTTAACTGGGGAACCAATGGGAGGCCGGGTAGCGTCTAGCAACAATCAGGTTGGCTCGGCTGGCTAGCAACAGGCTATGCTGCGCCTCAGCCAATCAGGGTGCAGCCTAGACTGTTGCTGGCCTCCCGGTCGTAGGTGGAGGATTTTATGAATCCTCAACAACCCTTCCCCCCGGCTTAGAGCGCATGTCCCTGATTGGAGCATGCGTAGTCATCTAGGTAGGCGGGGCATCGCCGGACCTGCCCAGATCTTCCCAGTTCTCCTGCCATCATTGGAGGGGTAGGACCTGCTCATGGTAGCTCCTCCCCAAAGGGACTGGAGCTCAGAGCGATGCCATCTTTGGATGGCCCAGAAGGCGGGCTCAACAAGTCAGGTAGGCCGGGCTGAGGGGGCGTGGCCACAGGGGGAATTTCGCGTTGCTGGGAGGCGGCGACTGGCGAAGGAGTGTAACTTGGCGGGAAAACCATTTTGGATTGAGGTTGCTGTGGCGCTAGCCAAAAGGTGGCACCTGGGTAGGTAGGGCCTGAACTGGGGAAGGCCCTTTCGTCCTGCGCCTGGTCGGATTGAAGAGGCTCAACTGGAGCATGCAACTCTGGAGACAGAGGGTAAGATAAGTCTGCCTGGGGAAAGGCCTGGAACGTTGGAAGTGGCTGGCAGGCAGCTGTGTCGTCGGGCCCTGGATCTTTCGAGCTGCCGGTCTCTGCAGGGAGGCGCCTTCTTAGTTGATCCATGTGGCGCCTCCACTCGGATCCATCGGCCAGTCCGACCCTGTAGGAACAGAGGCCGGTTATGGACACTACAACAGCAGCCACCCACCTAGGGTCCCCCGCAAATGACCGGGCCCAAACCAAGTCCCCCACACGGAAGGATCGGGGAGGGGTAACCCCCAGGTTGCACGGCTGGTCCCCTGAATAGAGCAGGTGAAGCCTATCCAGGGGGGTCCGCCGTCCAATCAAGAGCTCCGTGGGGCTTTTGTTGGTCGTTGGGCAGGGGGTGGAGTGTTGGCTTAGCAGGTAAGCTGCCACCCTCGTCTGCCAGTCGCCCTGGTCCATGCGGCCCAGTGCCTCCTTGGATGAATGGATTGCCCGTTCCGCCTGGCCATTGCAGGCTGGGTGGTACGGGGCTGTGGGCACGTGCTGGATTCCCTGACAGGCCAGGAATTCCTGAAATGTGGTAGAAGTAAATTGGGGCCTGTTGTCAGATACGATTACGTCCGGCAACCTGTGGGTTGCGAACAAGCGGCAAAGGGCCCTGATTGTACTCTCAGCTGAGGTGGAGGTCATGAGAACCAGTTCCACCCAGCGAGAATAGGCATCTACCACAATCAGGAATGTCTGGCCATGGAAGGGGCCGGCAAAATCTATGTGGAGGCGGGACCATGGTCCTCTCAGAGCCTCCACTCTCAAGCAGGCCCAGCTGGGGGGTTAGGACGGGAGAGCTGGCAGGTGGTGCAGCGGCCTACATAGGCCACAATCTCTGAGTCCAGCAAAGGCCACCAGACATAGCTGTGGGCTAACACCTTCATCCACGGTATGCCGGGGTGGTCTTTGTGGAGCAGAGGCAGGACCTGGGTCCGCAACGCAGCAGGGATCACTACCCGATCCCCACAAATGAGGCAGCCGCCGTGGAGAGACAGCTCAGCTTGCTGGGCTTTAAATGGCTGGAAGCAGTCGGCTACTTTCCCCAATGACCATCCCCTTAAGACCCATGAGCAGACTTGGGCCAGGACTGGATCAGCCTTGGTGTGGGCCGTGACATCCGCGGCCAAGAGGGGCAGGCCGGAGAAAGCAATCAAAAGGATGGACAGGGAGGGTACCGGGCTTGGGTCAGCATCCAGCAGGGGGCAGCAGGGGGCAGCGGACATCAGCATGCCCTAGCCGCTTGCCTGGATGGTAGAGCAGCATATAAGAATACGCTGCGAGGAACTCCGTCCAGTGCATCATCCTGGGAGAGAGGATGGGGGGGGGGTCGGCTTGTCGCCAGCCAAAAGCCCAAGGAGTGGCTTATGGTCAGTGACAAGAGTAAAGTGCCGACCATACAAATAGTTGTGAAACTTTTTAACCCTGGACACTACAGCCAGAGCCTCCTTGTCTATCTGGCTGTAGTTGCGCTCCGCGGAGGAGAGTGTCTGGGAGTAAAAAGCCATGGGGGCCTCTGAGCCATTTGGGAGGACATGGCTCAGGACCGCCCCCAGACCGTAGGGGGAGCGTCACAGGCTAACGTCAGTGGCAGCTGGTCGCTATACTGTACTAAGACAGCCACTGACGTAAGCGTGTCTTTGACAGCCGTGAACGCATGTGCTTCACGGCTGCCCCAGTGCCAGGCCATGGATTGGTCGAGCAACTGATGCAGCGGCTCGACTAGTGATGCCTTATGCGGCACGAATGGCGCGTAGAAATTCAAAAGCCCCAGGAATGCCTGCAGCTCCACCTTGGAGGAGGGAGTGGGGGCGTTCCTGATGGCTGCCACCTTAGCAGGTGTAGGGTGGATTCCTTGGGTGTCAATCAAGAAACCCAAGAACTCCACCCTAGGGAAAGCAAACGAGCATTTGCTGCGTTTGAGTTTTAAACCCGCGCCCCTAAAACGCAGGAAGACCTTCCTAAGGATTTCGATGAGTTCTGAGCGGCTGGAAGCAGTGATCAGAACGTCATTGAAATATGGAACCACGCCAGGGAGCCCATGGAGCAACCATTTCATGAGGCTCTGGAAGATCCCTGGGGCCACGGAAATGCCAAATTGGAGGTGGCGGCAACGAAAAGCCCCACGATGGGTGACAATGGTCTGGGCGGCCGCCGCATCGTCATCCACCGGGAGCTGTTGGTAGGCCTGCACCATATCCAGTTTTGCAAATGTGCAGCCCCGCCCCAGGGAATGGAGCAGGTGCTGCACCACAGGGACTGGATAGGGGTTTGCCTGGAGGGCAAGGTTGATAGTTGACTTGTAGTTGGCGCAGATCTGCACCGACCTGTCTGGCTTGAGAGGGACCACAATTGGGGTCTCCCATCACGAATGGTTGACGGGTTTGAGTACGCCCTGCACCAGAAGCTTATCAAGCTCAGCATCAACCTTAGCCCTCAAGGCAAAAGGCACCCTGCGAGCCTTAAGCCGAATTGGAGCAACCTGGGGGTCGAGGTTGAGGGAAATAGGGGTGCCCTTGTAAGAACCCAGCTGGCTGTCAAAAACGTCAGAGAACTCTAAGAGGACATCCTCCAGGGAGGAGGGAACCACCCTATGCACTGCCCCGATAGATAGCCCCAAGGCAGGAAACCAATTGAGCCCCAATAAAGCAGGCAGGGAGTCTTTTACAATAAAAATAGGCAAACGGCCGTGAAAATCCTCATAGTCAACCCAAATAGGGAAGGAACCCAGGGTGGGAATGATAGTCCCCTGGTAGTCCCTAAGGGAAGTGTCCACAGGTTGTAGCTGGGCACAGGAGACATGGGGACACAGGCGGGAGAAGGCGGCCCAGGAGAGCAGGGAACGGGAGGAGCCAGAGTCTACCTCCATTCGGCAGGGCTGACCTTCCAGCTGGAGTGCGGCGGAAACCTTCCGGGCTCCGGCGGACGCCTGGCTGACCATTTCACCAACACTCTCCGGCTGGTAGATGGTGTGGCAGTCTTCAGCCCGCTGAGCGGGCTCGCGGTGGCTGGCGGCGCGGCTGCGGTTGTGAAGCGGCAGGCTGTTGCAGGAAAGATAGTGCGGGAAGAGAGGCACGGCAGACCTGGGCAATGTGGCCCTTCTTGTTGCAACGGCGACAGACTGTGCCTTTGAAGGGGCAAGCCGTGCAGGCATGGCGACCACCGCAACCCACACACCTGGTCGTGGCACCTGGAGGAGGCAGTGGAGGGCGCCTAGGCTGCACCCGGAGCTGGCCAACAACTTCAGAGCAGGGGTCTTCGGGTGGCACCAGGTCGTCCATGAGGCAGGCTTGTGTGGCAGGCGGAGGGCACCCAAGCAGCGTTGGAGGAGGTGGCAGGGAGAGTTGCAGGCGTTGCATATCGGCCGTGGACTGCTCAGAGAGCTCGGCTGCTCTGGCAGATTCCATGGCCTGCTGCATCATGATATGAGGGTGTCTCAGGAGGCGGCTTCGCAAGTTAATGTCCTTCATCCCACACACAAATTGCTTGACCAGATTTTCGTCCAAATTCTGGAAGTCACACTGGGCCGCCGTTACCCGGAGCGACTCCAGAAATTGGCTGATGCTTTCCACCGGCTTCTGAACGCACCAGCAGAACACGAAGCGGCGAGTGATGCGGGAGGGCGCTGGGGTGTAGTGGTTCTTCAGCCGGGACATTAGTGTGTCCCAGCTGAGCTGGTACACAGGCCGCGGGGCGGCTAAAGCCCTGGCGGACGCAAACATTGCGGGCCTGCAACAACTTAAAAAGAAACTGCATTTCTCTTCCTCCGGTTGGTTGTGGTTCTTGGATGCTATTAAATAGCATTCGAATCGCTCCATGAAACCTTCCCAGGTTTCACCAGCGGCTCCGAAAGGAGCAAAGGGTGGTAAGGCGGATGCCATGTTTGCCACAGATGACAGTTCAGTTCAATAGACTCAAAAGAGTGTAGACGGGGAGCGTAGAGAAAAAAAATTCAGCGGTTCGTCGCACCGGCGGTCTGACGCGGCTTGAGTGGCTATAGCTGAATCTCTTCTCGCTCCGTCCTAGGCTCTGCTTCGGGAATCGCTGTATCCCATCTTCGTCGCCAGTTTAAAGGATCGAGGCAGGAACGACACGAGAGCCAGGACTTCCAACAAGAACAGTTTATTGAGAAAACAAACAGGAGCTGACAGCGATTCAAAAGTATCAATTCGGCGCCAAGGTATTTATACAAGCTTTGTTATCTGGGGAACCAATGGGAGGCCCGGTAGCGTCTAGCAACTGCTGACGCAGTACCCTGGCCAATCAGGTTGGCTCGGCTGGCTAGCAACAGGCTATGCTGTGCCTCAGCCAATCAGGGC